AGGCCTGGTTACACCTCGCGGTAGATTGAAAGACATGTAATCCGAAGCTGCCCGGAAATTGTTACTGACCTGCATCATGGCCAGCGTGGTCAGGGGGTAAGCTGACGGCGTTGTGATCAGTACATCTGTCCTGGCACCAGCATGTATATAAACTAACAAGAATGGACCACAGGGCAGAAGCCTCCTCCTCAGGATGTGGACAGAAACGTCCTTGTGACTGTGATTAGGACAAGTGCAGATATGACCTGACTCATACACTAAACAATGTAGGCATAATGTCGACCTACTGCGTGTTTAGCTATGCACATGGGAAGGCTGTCCTCGGGATCTGATCGCCGGAGGAGCACAACAGAGTGACGAAAAGCTTCTCTTTTGGAGTCAGACAGTCTTAAGTCCCATGTGGCCAGGGGACGTTAAACATCGTTCCACACCTCAGTCTCCTCGTCTGGACAATGGGGCTAGAGAGCCGCCTTTTGGGATGTTATGGGGGTGAGATAAGGCAATGCCTGTGGTGTGCTGGCACTGCCCAGGACTCGGGAGATGCCCAGTGTGAGCTTTTTAAAGAGTAAAAAGGAAAGTCCACACACAGCTCCTGCTGTGGGCCGGTCTCTGTTGTACATGTGTTGTGCATATTACCTAATTTAACGCTGGTGAATACCTCCTGAGGAGGTGTTAATTCAACCTCCATGTTACAAAAAAAGGAAATGGAGGCACAGTGGGTTTGAAAAAGTCCCCCAACAGCAAGTGGCCAGGCCTGTACTCACAGCCCTCATCCCGGCTCCCCGAACACCCCTCCCTGCTCTGCGGATGATAGCAACTGAGATCACCGTTAGCAGCTGGAAAGGTGGTCTCCAGAGCTAGGGAACGGTACCAGGGCCCCGTTAATGGACACATTTCACAAAGTCAGGCCTGCCCGGCTGGTGGGCTCAGTTGGTTGGAGCGTCATCCCAGGCACCTAAAGGTGGTGGGTTCCATTTGGGTCAGGGCACAGGCCCGCATTTTGGTTTTGATCCCCGGTCAGTCTGGTCCGGGTGCATGGCAGCCAACAGATCAATGTTTCTCTCTCACATTGATGTTTCTCTCTCTCTCTCTCTCTCTCTCTCTCTCTCTCTCTCTCTCTCTCTTTCTCTCTCTCTTTCTGTCTTAAATCAATAAAAACATACCCATGGATAAGGATTTTTTTAAGCAGCGTGCTGAGCTCCTGTCACCAGTGTGGAAGGTGAAAGCGTGCAGCCTGGCCTTGCCCCTGTCTGTGCAGTCACCGAGGCCAGTAGAACAACAGTGGCTCCCACCACATGGGGGGCTCCGGCCACGGGAGCGCACGCACTCACTACGGGTAACTGAGACAGCCCAGCCTTGCCGCCAGCTGCCCCGGCCCCACATCGCTGCACAAACAATAACCATGTCACCTCTTTCCGACGGCCGGTGACCCGTCACTGCACAGCTGTGGCTCAGGTCACACCCACCACACACACACACACACACAGCAAAGCATGGAGCGTGTCGCCGCTTTGCATCCCACTGATAAGCCCACACATTTACAAAATGGATCATGGAAAGAGCCAGAAAAATGAAAGGAAGAGAGGGCGGCCAAGGGCAAACATCGATGCGCTGGAAGTGAATTCTGAATGGGACGAGCCTGGCCTCACAGAAGGCACAGCTGGCCGCGGGAACGTGGGCGCTGGCGCTGGCCCGGGGACTCCAGGTGCCGGCATCAGTGAGGACGGCGGTGCCATCGAAGGGGGGACAGGGTCCCCGAGGAAGTGACGCCAGCAGACAGCTCCTCCCGGTGGGACTCTCGCCGGCACTTCACGCACTGATCGCACTGATCGCAGAGGCTGAAACGCTGAAAGCTGATTGTGCGAGCACAGAGCACGGAGCCCGCGGGCTGCAGAGGTGCTGCTCAGGCGAGGAGGCCAGGACGCTGCTCACGCCGCTCTTGGGGGCTCTTTACAAAGAAACAGGGCACCGATGCTCCATGTGTCCAGTGTCTGTCGCAGTGCATGAGATAAACGTGCGCTTGCAGCCTACACATTTCCCTGGACGTTTACACGGCGACAACACTTATGTTCTGGCAAAAGGCACTAAAGGTCTCCGAACAACCAGAATTTGTCCCGTTGGTGATTAAGACGGCTTTGCACGGCCCGAGATCGTGTTTATGGTCTCTCACTAACTGGCAAAAGCCATGCAACCGGATGGACGTCCGGGCATGCGCAGAGTGGTGACCGCGTACCCCTCCCCCTGCCGATTCTTCCTGCTCCCACTTGCAGAGGTGCCTGCCCCCCCCCCCCCGCTCCCCCCTCCCCCCGCTGGCCTTCATCTCCAGAGGCCAGGCGCTCCCTTCCGCCCGCTCTGGGGGCGTCCCCGCTCTCCGGGTCCTCTCCTCCTGGAGCCCTGCCTGACCCCTGGGTACCCCCGGGCTGTCCTCCCCACCCTCCTATTCCACAGCGAGAGCGAGCGCCTGTGATTCCGGTAACTAAGCCTGCCCCCCCCCCCCCCGCCGCCCCCCCTCCCCCTCCCGCAGAGGGTAATGTCAGTGTCACTCCCATTTTTGCAGAAGAAACTCTGCACAGGAGGGTGTGCGAGCTGCTCAGGTCACCAGGAAGGGGTGGAGCAGGACACGCCCCTGGGGTCTGGCTATGGACCCGCGGGCTCGACCTGCAGGCCTGTCTGCCCGGGTGGCTCTCACCCAGAGCCAACCTAGGCCTTGGGCACGGGCTTCTCACAAGATGTGTAAGGTTTAGTGAACGGAGAACATCAACAGTCTCCAGACTATAAAAACTGTAAAAACAGAACCAACCTGTTTCATTAGGGGTGCACACGACATGGTGTGTATCAATGTTTTAAAAAGCTAATGGTAACGTGTAGGTTCAATTTTATAAAGTGAAGCCATCCGTAAGGGTGCAGGTTGATTGCCTAGCTCCTTAGCCAAACATGGAACAACTCATTTTTTAAATAAATATGTAACAATTGTTTCAAATTATCTTAGAGTCTAGCGCGTCTAGATGTGAGGGGAGATGTGGCTGCGTTTTAAAATGTGTGACTTGCCCGCCTGGTTGCTCAGGAGGTCACAGTTCAATTCCCCGCCACGCACGTGCCCGGGTTTCAGGCTCGATCCCCAACAGGAGGCGTGCAGGAGGCAGCCGATCAAGGATTCCTCTCTCATTACTGGTGTTTCTCTCTCTCCCTCTCCCTTCCTCTCTGAAATCAATAAAAACATATATATTTTAAATTGTGATTTGATGTGGGACCCCCTCTTTAGAAAAAGAAGAGTCCAGAACCTCAACGTGACTCTCTCTTGTCTCAAGCATCACCATTTGCAGCTGGTCCCAAGTGGGGGTCCCCCAGGCCCGGGGTCTGCATTTGCAGCCCTGCGCCTGCAGCCCCCCGCGCTGTGCTTCTGCATGGGGGTCAGTGTGCTCGGGACTGTCGTCAAAGTGCCACAGTCCCGGGCTTGCCAGTGACAGCTGCATCTCCGTCTGGAGGCTGGGCGTCCAAGATCAAGGTGTCAGCAGGGGCAGTGCCTTCCGCGGCCTCTCCTTGGCCAGCAGGTGGCCGGCTTCTCCCTGTATCCTCGCCTGGTCGTCCATCTTTATGTGCCTGTGTCCTAATCTGTTCTTCTTTTTGTTTTTTAATGTATTTTTATTGGTTTCAGAGAGGAAGGGAGAGGGAAAGAGAGAAACACCAATGAGGAGAGAGAATCACTGATCCGCTGCCTCCTGCACGCTCCACGCCGGGGATTGAACCTGCAACCCGGGCATGTGCCCTGACGGGGAATTGAACTGTGGACCTCCCGGTTCATAGTTTGATGCTCAACCACTGAGCCACGCCAGCCAGGCTCTGCTCTTCTTAGAAGGACACCAGTCAGATTGGGTTAGGGGCCACCCTAATGACCTCATTTACCTCTTAAAGACTCCATCTCCACATGCAGCCCTATGTGGAGGTACGGCTACCACATGAGAATTTGGGGCAACACAGTTCAGTCCATCACAGACGGGAGCACCCGATGTGGTCTGAAGAACCCAGAGGGCGTGACTCGGGGACCACCATAGATGTACCACACAGGAAGGAAAGAAGAGGGCTCTTGCTTACAGAGTGTTAAATGGACCTCAAGGAAGACTCAGCACCACTCAGGACGCACCCACGAGGGAAGCCGTGAGCCATGAAGCGGCCTCTGTGAGCTCAAAGACATGTGCCCAGAGCCACAAGCCAGGGCGCGGGACGCTTTCCCCCTCCCCCCCAACGGGCGGGTGTGGGATCTCCTGACAGGTAGGAATCAGATGACGTTAGCAAACCAAGAGTTGCTTTGCTCTGTTGCACTATTTCAAGGGTCTGCTCTTATCTCTTCTCTGCTTCTTTCGTCTCTTTCTGGACCTGTTGTCTTCCTTTCATCGCATTCTTGGAAGCCTACTGGGTCCATGTCACCTACCGCCTCTCCTCCAACTTCAACAGGTTCCAATGACTCCTCCATCTGTCGCTTACATTTCCCTGCTGTGATCACACATGTCATCTATGTCCCCTGAATCCGGCCTGCCCATCACAGCATCCCCAAACTCCGTCCCACCCGGCCACCTCCTCTCATCCATCCTCCCCTCTCCTCCTGCAAAGAGCCATTTTCTTATTCTCCCAGGAGCCAAAATTGTGGCAAGACATGTGGACCAGACAGAGGACATCCATGCCCTGGCCAATGAGAGCAGGCGCCCCTGGTCCTTCCCACGGTCAGGCAGCCTCCCTCCCGGGCCTGACCCCACCCAGGGTGCACCCAGCGTGCTGGGAACTGACCCTGCCCTTGGCCTCCGCGGTTCCCCTCTGCTGTGTCTTCGCTGCTCTCTGCTGAGACCTGTTCCCACACTTCAGCGTTTCCCCATCCAGTGGAAGCATCTTGGAAAACGATCCTTGGGCTGGAAGCCATGATATCTGATCCTGACAACCTTCTGGGAGTCAAGTTGCTGCGGTTTGCGTGTCTCTCCCATCTGGAGGGAAGGCTGCCCGGGCAGGATGGGAGCCACTCCAGACCTTGTAAGCAAGAGGAGTGGTTTGTAGGGATGGCAGGGAGGGTAGGAACGTGCGTTTGCCAGAACCTTCCATGGCTGGGCTCTGTGGGGGGTCCTGTCACATGGGAGAGGAGAGAAGGCCTTCAGCCAGCAGACACATAAGTGACCCAGACTCTGCACTCACATGGCCTCTGCAGGATCCCCTTCCTCCCCCTCCCCCTCTCCCCCTCAGGAAGCCACTCCCTCCCCCTGTCCCCCCCCCCCCCCTCAGAGCCTTGGTCTCCTCCAGTGTCATTGCCAGCATCTCCTGACAGACGCAGATAAACCTCCACACGAGCCGCACAGGGAGAAGGAAAGTACAAGTGATGACTCTCCTTAATCCTGGGACTTTCCCCTCTGTGCCCCTGCTGACACCCCAGTAAGGCCTGGTTCCCAGGACAGGAAGCTGCTGACCGGGTAGGTCAGGTCAGGACAAATCCCCACCTCCCCCAGGAGGGGGCGCACTTTCTCGGTGGCCCCAGTGACAACTTGGCCTCCTGGGCAAAACACGGAAAACCACACCCAACACGGAACGCGCAGTCGGCCACAGTGGACTCCATAATTCATACAATTCCACTGCTTGTGTCTCCGGGAAAAGTAAATTCACTTTGTTTTTGAAACAGTTGATGGCCAGTGCCATTGGCGAGGGCAGCAAGCAAGAAGTTCTCAGTGGGAGGAGGGAGGAGAGGCGGTGGTGCTGGGGGCAGGGGGCCCACAGCCACGCACGGCTTCTTCTGAAAACAGCAAATACGACTAATCCGCGCCTTTCCCATAATGGACAATTCATGAAAACCTTGGGGGTGATAATCAAGTTGATTTTGCTAAAAATGTAATATCTCATCTTACCCCCCCCCCACCCCCACCCCGCTTATCATTTCCCTGGTCCTAACTAGGATTGGTTCAAGACTGGGCTAAATTTGTTTAGACAAGTTCTACAATATTTTTTTTTTTTTTTTAAAGAGGAAGGTGCAGTACAGAGAGTTTCCAAGTCCAGAGAACATTCTGTTCCCAGCCTTTGGTTTACAACCGAATGTGCTTTACATTTTGAAGACAAGCTATAGCTTGTAAATCGAATGTGGAACTCATCTGAAGCCTGAGCCATCCATCACTCGTTATGTAAGTGGAGAAATTTCTGGCGAGGAGAAATCTTTAGCTGAAAGCTAGGAAGGTCTGTTGATCTTAAACAACGTTGAAATGGATCTGCTCCGTCGATAATATCTGGGTGCCTGTCGGCTCCTCCACAGCCCGCCGCGTGCATCTTGCCAACTCGGGCGTCGCACAAGTAATCATTCCGATGGGAACGTGAGAGAGTTTCTTGGGCAAGAAAGTCAAATATTGTAAGTGCTGCCGTTTTGTTAAGCAGGCTTCCTTCCTTCCAGCGCACTCGAAGCCTTAAATTTAGAACGCTGACATATTGTCTCCAAAATCAGTCATTGTCGGCAGCGCCCGGAGTAATTTTGAGAACTGCCTGTGCTTTAAGAGGGTTATGACCATATTCCCCCGCAAACGGCCCCTGTTCTAGTAAACACATACCTCATTCTCTTCCAGCTATAAAAACCCCAGTTCCATCACGGAAATAAAATGCTTTCTCAAGCCCTTTCTCGCTGCTTTTGTGAACAAAACCACTTTTCCAGCGACACCTCCCTCCTGCCACCCAGCCCCTGTGGAGGGAACATCTTGCGAGTAGAAGAGGACTTTAAAAATATATATTATTTCAGAGAGGAAGGGAGAGGGAGAGAGAGATTGAAACATCAATGATGAGAGAGAATCATGGATTGGCTGCCTCCTGCAGGCCCCCTATTGAGAATTAAGCCCACAACCCGGACACGTGCCCTGACCAGGAATTGAACCGTGACCTCCTGGTTCATAGGTTGACATTCAACCACTGAGCCACGCCAGCCAGGCAGGATGAGGACTTTCATAAAACCCTCTTTCTGCATCAGCTGCTCCAGAGGCGAGGCTGGGTGGCGGCATTCTCAGCATCCGGAGGAGGGAAGGTCTCCAGCACCCTCCCTCCACCACCATCGCACGCCCCCTTAAGCTGCTTTATTTCTTTCACACTGTGTCCTCTCAACTGTGTTACTACTTGACTCGTGTGTTGTCTCTCTCTCCTCACAAGACAATGAACTCTGAGAAAAATCTACATGGGGTTTTCTTGCAGGTGGGATGGTCTACAGACCCCAAGAGAGACGTGCTCCTGTTGCAACGTTGGCGACGGTGGACCACGGTGATGGAGGCGACGAAGGTGTGGGCAGTGCGATGTGGAGGCCTGGCTGTGACCACGGGCCCAAGACCTATGAGTCATTATAACAGATGCCATGAGAATGGCCTGTATGTGAGTGCAGCCCATGACCTGTGTAGGACAGGGGCTCTTTCTGTTTTGTTCACGCTGCATCCCCAGCTTCTGACAATAGTAGGCACTCCATACGTGTCTGTGCGGCTGCTTCATTAACCAAGAACTATACTGGCGAAAGGCACTGCGAGTCCATTAACAGTGTTAAAGGATTTCGTCTTTTATTACATGCAATACATGCATGCGTGGTGCTGTAACTCCCCGAGGTGTTATTTCATCATGGTTAGGGTTCCTGAACCCCTATGAGTGACTCTGAGGACCATTGATGGAGAACCTCTGACAAAAGGGGGCAAGTGCTGAATTGAAATGCTGCAGACTTGATCCTCTTACCAGCTGTGTACCCTGAGCAAACCCACTTCAGCTCCCTGAGACCCGGCTCTCTCGTGTGGTGAATGGAAGCAATAATAGCCTATCTACCTTCCCAACCAGAAAAGAACAATGTGTTCGAGACATCCGAGGCATCGCAGGGGCAGAATTCATTGCACCCCAATTCATTGTTATATTGGGTTTTTGAGGGGGACCATCAGCTCCCACCCCCCAGGGACATGGGGCGTCATCGTGGATTGTCTCAGCTGGTGTGGGTGCTGCTGGTGTTCGCGGGTGGAGACCAGGGGTTCGCGGGAGGAAAATCATAGCCAAACGTCCCCCACTGCACAGGACAGCCCGCAGCAAACACCGACCCGACCCAGCCTGTCAGCAGTGCTGAGGCAGGAACCCCATGGTGCCGCTTTGCTGCAGGCCTTGCTTTCTGCTTTATAATGGGCATGAACCCCTATTTCACCAACCTCAGAAGCACATCTGAAACACAGAGTCACATAATTTTCTTGTGCGTCTAAACCAATCAAGTCACTCCCCGCCCCCTCCTCCCAGAAAAACCCACGTGGGAGTCAGCACGGATTGACCTCACCTGTGAAACCGTGAGGGGAGGAGCAGTAGCGGTTCCAGGCCCCGGCGGGCAGGGCAGCCCTCACGCAACTACTCCAGGCACCACGGCCTCACAGTGACCTACTCACAGCCTGAGAATGCCACCCCGAGCCTGGGGCACAGGCCTACAGGAAGGGGATGGAAACTCACCCTCTTAGTGGTTAGTGGCCTGGTAATGCGTGCGCGCACACACACACACACATACATACACACGCACGCATGCACACACTTATTCTTGACTTTTTGTGAATAAAATGCAGCTCAAGCCTGGCGGTGAGGGGAGAGTCACAGACAGAAAACACCTTTTCTTCTCTCACCGGCACCAGCCGCTACACATTAGCCTCTGGGCCCTGCTTGCGTCTAACCTGTCACCACCCCCGACCCCACCCCACCCAGGCCCAGCTGTGTGGACGATGAGTCCCGGGTTCAGCTGGGGCGCTGCCAGAGGGAGGCGTGCGGCTGCCCCGCACCTGCTCTGAAGGTCCCCACTGTTCAGGGAGAGGGAAGCTCCAAGCCCACCAGCGGGCGGGGAATGTGGGGCATCCCTGGGGCCCGTGCACATGGACTGTTGATGCGCCGCAGGTAGTCACAGGCTGAGGGGAGCCCGGAGTTTCAGCAACAGCTTCCCTGTGGCCTTAGAAAAACCCAAGCAGCAACCACAGCACCAGCGACAACGAAGACTCAGTCCCAGAAGGAGGGCCGTGGCCACCTGCGGCTGGTCAGGCTGAGCTCCAAGCCTCAGGTCTGGGGAGACTGACTAGTTCCCCCCGCCCCCGTTGTTTGTCCTGCCCAGGGAGGGAGCTTTCCTCCCACGCCACCCCCACCCCAGGGCACAGCAGGGACCTGAACAGCCTGACACAGCCAGCCAGGAGGCCCAGTGAGGGGTTCCTTCCAAATAAGCTTCGAGCTGCCCTCCCTGCTTTTGTTAGAAATGAGAAAACTGCTGGCCCCGATGTGTTTTTTAAGCGACCATCCACTACGTCATCCGTGCCTATTAATGACCTTCATTAGCCAGCCCTATGTGTAAAGGCCAGGCTTGCAGCATGCTCTAGGTGGGCGGCTTTAATGAGGCCTAATTGCAGGCAGTCACATCCAAGTGTGCGCCCCCCACTGATGAGTAGCAGGGCTTGGAATCCGGTGCATTCCCCGGGCTTGCCATGGGGTGACCGTGCACTCAAACCCAAACATGGCACGTGCATTACTTCTCTGATCACTATGACGGCCGACAGGGCTGGGTATTAGGGTCACTGAGGACACCCCCTAGCAGCCGCATGAGGTGCTCGGAGAGTCGTCAAGTCCACAGGTTTGCCCCCTTCAAGCACGACGCTGGACCCTACTGGCTTGGATTTCCTTTCGCATTTGTAGGTCCAGATGTCTTCATGCCCAAAAGTGCCTTCTGACATGGCCACGTGCCTTTACACTCAAGGAGCACTAACACTGCGGGGACAATTAACCTCTGTGCAAAGCCAGCTGCTCCTCATCAGCCCTTCCCTAGAAATCAGCTTTTTATCGCTGACAACACTCACCTATTTGCCCCACTGAAATTGCATCTGCTTCTCCAATACCTCCCGCGCTCGGCGTGGCTATTTTTTGCAAATCAGAAACGAGGACGCTGAGCTTGGAAAGATGGCCTGGCCGGCATGAGACCTCGGAGGGCTTCTGGGCTCAGGAGGCACCTGCTTGAGAGGTAACCTGCAAGCCTCCGACTGGTCCTCCTTGTCCTGGAGATCTGGTCTCCTTGGTCCAAGCCATCACGTGGTCACACAGCATCACTCTCCATGGGCGGGGCAACCGGCCCAGCAGCCAATCAGCAGCCACCATAGGAAACACCTGGACTCAGCTCCCTCCACTTGCTCTCCTCCCCCTGCCTGTTGGCAGTGCACGTGGTACTCTCAGCACCCACGAAGGATTTGACGTGTTTGCAAGAGTCTCTCGTTTTGCCGGGAACACGGGAAGAGCGGATGAAAACTGTCCCGGCCTGCACACTGCTGGATCCGTTGGTTGACATCAAAGAAGCTGCAGTACGGTTGGAGGGTGTGTCTGAAAACGGTTATGTCTGTGTGTCCTTGCAGTGCCTTTGTCTCAGATAGCACATGACCTGTAGAGATGGGTTTTGCCGGGTAGGATTTCTATGGTTTGGAAACCTGTTCCTTGCGGGAATATGCCACTGAGGTGCCCCGTGGCCCGATGGAGAGCTGGCCCTGGAGAGTAACCGAGCTGCATGGAATTAAAAGCATAACCAAGCCAGCGCCTCCTCACTGGCCTTGCCTTTCACCTGCATTGAGAGAGGTTCCTTTTGGTCAAGGCCGGAGATTCAGAGCTTGGAAAACTGAGGCCTGCTTACCGTCTGTGGGTAAATGTGATCTTTAGATAAGTAACCACCCAGCACAGTGGACTTGGAGGCGAGGTTAGGGTCACAGGCTTTGAAAGCAGGCACGCCTCCATTAGCCGCTGTGTGACTTCAGGCCTGTTACTTAACCTCTCTGGGCCTCTGATTTCCACATCTATAAAACTGGACAGTCATGCTTAAACTATTGAGTCATCATGGGATTTAAATGAACTATTGGCGATAAAGTGCCTTGCCCTTAATAACTACCAATAGAGGTTACTAGAGTATTTTATTAGAGTATTTCTCCTAAAATTAGAACTATGATAACATTGTATAACAAACCAAAGTTACCATAATTCTCAAATATTCTGTAATAAGTTGACCTTTTACAGAAGTAGTGGCACTCAAACCCCTCCACACTGGATACCAGTCCTGACCACAGGCTGGTGGGTCAGTGTCAACACTGGTCTCATGCACAGGCAGGGACTGAGACCCTCTGAAAACACGGTGCAAAGACGATGCAAACTAATACACAGCAAAACTTCCAATCCTGCCCAGGACATGAGGTCTCACGCCCTGAGAAAGCGTGATTGAGGAACAGCTGGAATTGTTCACTGGTGCTGCAATTACAACCTGAGATTCATTCATGAAAAGCGAAAACACTTATTGCCATCATTTTAGTTTTATTTTCCAAGATGACGTTCCAGTTGTCACACTTTCCCCCCACAGGATCTGTGAAATCGTGGTCCCCATTCTGAGTACATTCACTTTAAGTAGCTTTATTCAGTGTAAAAAAAAAAAATTAAAAAAAATAAAAAAATTCTCAGAGGAGAACCAAGATGGCGGCATAAGGTACAAACCTGTACGTGCTGCCCCGCACAACAACATTAAAACCACAACTATAAGACAGAACAGCTATCATCCAGAACCACGGGAAAGCTGGCCGAGTGGAAGCTCTACAACTAGAAGGAAAGAAAAAAGCGCATTGAGACCGGGTAGAAGGTGCAGAGGCGCCAAGAACAGAGGTACGGAGGCGCGCGTGAGGCAGCTGCACCTGGGTGCGCGGTTTGTTTCAATCGGAAGGGGATACAAGCTCTCAAACGCACTGAACTCATTTACAGGGAGACGCCGGGGTCCCAAACTCCTATGGGAAGAACGGGACTGTCCTGCAGTGGGTTGGAAAGCGAGGGTGACTTTCTCACAGAGCTGCTCGCAGGGATCATTGAGGCGGTGGGGGCGCACGGCACTCGGGGCGCAGAAATGAGGAGTGAGTCGCGGAGACGTGACGACACCATTGTTTGCTCCGCCCTGGTGTCTCCCTGAGACCCCGCCCCACTCAATTCACATCCCCTCCCCAGCTGTGATCGGCAGCACAAAGGAGGCACCTGCGCTTCTGCAGCCGAACAAACTGCAGCTGGATCAGAGAGCTCCAAAACTTCCAAACTACAAACAAAGCAGAGAAATCTGTTGATATCGCTGTAGCAGTTCTTCTTATAGACTCAGCGGGTCCTTGCAGTCAGCCAAAAATGCGAAGACAAAGAAACATGTCACAAATGAAAGAAATGGAGGAAAGC